TAATAATAATAATTGTAATAATAATAATGATGATGATGATGATGATGATGATGATTCATAAAAATGTGGAATATACATAAACGGTTCTAATATTTTATTTATAAAGTAAAAAAAAAAAAAAATTACAAAAACAATAAGAGCAAAATACGAAGGAAAGAGAGAGGGGGGTATTTATATAATTACAGGTTGGAAAAGACAAGGAGACAAGAATACACACACATAACACCTGGAAAAAAAAAAACGTATAATTTTTATTTTTCCTCCCCCACACATTCCAGCAATTTTTTTTTTTTTTGCACCTGTGAAATTTTCACGCATTACATCTGTTGTTGTTTCCTTAAACAATATAATTATCATTATTATTATTATTGTTGTATTTGAATTATTATTATTATTATTATTGTTTTCATTGTCTTAAGAGCGTAAGAAATCATTTTTATTTATTTGTTAAACGATTTAACACGATGCCGCAGCTCGAAATGCATTTCAAAAAAAAATGTCGCGTGTTCGTCTTATTTATTTATTTTTTATTTTAAAAATAAAAACAAATGTTAATGACGAGTATTTTGTCATACCTGAAAAAGGTGACGAGGGTGATGATGATGATGATGATAATAAGGTATACATTTGATTTTTTTCAAATTTTAAAATAATAATAATTTCTTTTCCAGGAATCGTTTTTTTTTTAATGCATGACACACACTCGTACAAGTACAAATATTATTATATATTTATATAATATTGTTTTCCCGTTAGTATTATTATTATTATTATTATAATGCCTCGTTGAACATTTAGATGCGAAATAAAAATAATAATAATAAATATACGTAAGAGAAAATCCGAGATGACTCGATAAATTTAATTACTCTCCAAGCACTGGATCAATAATTTGTTAAACTGGAACGAAAAACCGTTAACGCCGCGTGCGTTTGAAAATAAATAAATAATAATAATAATAATAAATATTGTCATTATTATGCGACAATTTTTTTTCGTAAAAGTGAGAGAGGAGAAGAACGTTCGAGAGTTTTTAATTTTTTTCACGTTCGTTTGTGAAAGGAGCGAACGTATAAAAAAATTTATGGAAATCCATTAAAATAAAAATAAAAGATGGAAGAATATTCATCAATTTTGGAAATTTCAACAGGAAAATGTTAAAAAAATAATAATAAAAAAAAATGGCCGTTAAAATGATTTATTGCTCCGCCATTTTATACGGTTATAATTATCGTTAACAGTTCACGAGACAAAAACTATTTTAAAAAAAAAAAAGTAATAAACACGAGACGAGTCGTAACACGTTCGAAGAATTAACACAACAACCGAACGTCAGCGACTTTTTTATAATAATAATAATAATAAATCAGGTTTACCAAACTTTAAAAAAAAAAAAAAAAGTTTTTTATTAATCGTCAAAATAAATAAATCGTTTGATATTACGTCACGTAAAAATATGACGAATAAAAAAAAAAAAAAAAAAAAAAAAATTTTTCGGATTTGAAAAGAAGAAAAAAAAACGACACGACGTAAATATATAAATCCTATAACGAATTACGTTTGGAGAATTTAAAAAATTTATAATTTTTGTTTGTTGTTGTTGTTTGTTTCCCTTTTTAAGAAAGGAATTATTGTGCCTTAAGGTATATATCTGTTAAAAAAAAAAAAAGATATTCGAACCCGTACCAAAAAAAAATATTAGCCCACCTTATGTATGTGGTGGGCCACGTTTATTTATTTGCCGGAAGCCATTTTAATGTGAATTTTTTTTATAAAAATGCCATTATTATCATTATTATTATTATTATTATCATCATTACGACACTTTTTCTTTTTCGTTTAGTTCGAAATAAATAAATAAATAAATTTTATTTTTTTTTAACTTAAACTCGAAGCTTCTTTTTTTACTCTTTTTTTACATACCTTCGAGGTATCATCGAGAAATATTCTTTTTAGTCACGGCAAATCTCTCATTTATTCGTAATAAATAATAATAATAATAATAATAATAATAATAATAAAACAAACGTAAAATTTTTCGTTTGTTGTTTGCACTTTCGGTTAACAAACAAAACGTTATTATTCATTTTCCTTTGTCAAACGAACGCCAACATGGCCAACCTTGAAATGGAAACTTGGTAGCCTAGCCTCACGTTATGATTTTGTTATTTTTTTTAAGTTTTAAAATAATAATAATAATAATAATAATAATAATAATAATAATTATCTTAATGAAAATAAATTCGAAGATGTAGATGCATTTGGAACACACACGCGAACGAACGAACGCATGCACGTATGCACGCACGCACGCACGCACGTCTTATTACACGTGCGAGTTTTCAATTTTAAAAAAAATTAAAAATTATTTTTTTAAATTAATTTTTTAAACTTCCCTCTCTCTCTCTCTCTCTCTCCCCCCCACAATTGTTTATTATTATTATTATTATTTTGGAGAAGAAAAATTAAATTTTTTTTTGTACACGTATTCCAGATTTTACGTTTGTTGTGACCTTGAAAAAAAAAATGGACGTCGAAAGGGACAACAAAATTATATTATGGATGCCATTACAAATCCGTTACTTTTTTTTTTGTTTTTTAAAGGGGGGAAAAAACGTCACTAATTAAAAATTTCATCGTGGCATTAGATAGATCGTTGTGTAAAATTATTTACTCACCTTACGTAACTCAATTAAATATAATAATAAAAATAAATGAAACAAGGTAAAAAAAAAAAATTTTTTTTTTTTGTTTGCGTAAATTTTTTTTTTTATTATTCCAGGTATAAAATTTTCGTAATTAATTATGGAAAATTAAATAAATAATTCTGGAATGTGTGATTGATTGATTATTACGTTTCGTATTTTTTTTTTCTTTTGTTTCGATTGTGTTGATTTTATGCACGTTTTGGTTGGTGGTATTTTAAGAAAAAAATAAAAAAAAACCGTTACGTGATTATTTTATTTGTTATTTAATTTATTATCATTATTATCGTCATAGACAAATACATAATTTTTTTTTTTTTTAGCAAATTCATTGAATGTAATTATTATTATTATTATTATTTTTCGAATAAAAAAAATTTAATTAAGTGACCGATGCTGTTGTGGTTGTGGTGGTCGTGGTGGTGGTAGACGACGACGTTGTTGTTTCCATAACTTTTTCGGTCGTGTCGTTTGATGATGATGACGGTTGTTGTTGTTGTTTAACTTCTGGAGTTGTTGTCGCTATGGATTCCTCAGAAACGTTTTCAATTGTTTTGTTTGTCGTTTCTGACGTCACATTTTTTGGAATTTTTGGAGTTGTCGTAACACCACCTTCGGCAATTTTCTCGATAACTTCACTGGGTAATTTATTTAAATCAACGTTAACCGGATTTTTAATTATTTCAGCAACTTTCGTACCGGCGAGGTCTATCATTTCACCATCACTTCCCGATAATAATGATGACGATGACAACGAAGACGACAAAGTATCCGACATTTTATCAAATTTTTTACCAGAATTTTCCGATGAAGTTTTCACGACGGCATGATCGTCCACGATTTTCTCTTGAAAATTCGTTTCGTTATTATTTTCCGTTGTTGCGTGTACGCGTCGAGAACAAACGACAACAACGACGCATAACGTAAAAATTATTTTTAAAAAAGAACGATTAATAATTTCCCACATGATATCTCCAGAGAGAAAAAGAAAATTTTATTTAAAAAAATTAACAAAAACGTTTCTAGCCAAAAAAAAAAAAAAAAAATGAAATCGATTTCGAAACGGTTTCACTTCTAAGAAAGTTTTATACAGACTGAAGTGGTTCGTTTTCAGGTACGAATGATTCAAAAGAATGTCCCCAGACATATTTCCTTTGTTTATTTGACATGTAGCGTCTATTATTGTTTACAAAGTTGAAAAAAAAAAAAAAAAAAATTTTTTTTGTTATGTAAACTTATTGTCAACCGACTGTGAATGTGACCGGTCAGGTAGTTTTACCACAACAACACTAGAATCACGTATCACAATAACCAACCACATAAATGACGATATTAACGACGATTTGTTTTTTTTTCACATCGACTATTATTATTATTATTATTATATATTAATTTCAAATATTTTATATTAAAAAAAAAAAAAAAAACGTGACGATCCTTTGATGTGACGTCATACAAAACAATCATTAATAATTAATAATGCAAATGGCGTCGTTTTTTTCTTTTTTTTTCCCGGTAAAAAAAAAAAAAATCTACAAGTCAAAAATGCCAAACCTTTATTTATTTACTGTTTAAGGTTTGAGTTGTTTTTTTTTTAAGGTACGGTTCTATTGTCCTTTTTTTTTTCGCCTATGCCAATAAAAAATATTTTATCGTTAAAAAAAAAAAATCATTGTCGTTAATCTAATTTTAAAAAGAATTTTTCCTTTTTTTCGAAAAAAGTTTTTATTACTTCTTAGAAACGAGAAATTTTTTTTGTTATTATTATTATTATTATTAGGTCGAGAATCGAAAGTCGAAAATTATTATTATTATTGTTATTATTTTTCAAATCTAAATTTCGATCTTTTTACGGGGAGCAACATTCACAAATCATTATCACGTATGAAATTTTTTTATTTATCTTTTATTATCACCTGGAATGTTGGATGGTGATGGTGTTGGTGGTGTTGGTGGTGGTGGTGATGGCGGTGGTGGTGATGGTGATGGTGATGGTGATGGTGATAGTATTAGTAGTAAAACACCTTCAGGTAGGTCATTATTTATTTTAATCTAAATTATAAGTTTTTTTTTTTTTTTTGATTTTCTTTCACGTTGATTACAACATCAAGGTTGTGAAAAAAATATATATATATATATATTAATTCTTATCACATTATTTATTTATTTCAAAGGAATTTTTAATATTTTTATTATTATTATTATCGTTTAGTCTTAAAATATTATTATTGTTATTAAACAAAGATTTTATTTTTTTACAAATGCTTGCTGGCTGTTATTAGAACTTTTTTTTTTTGTTAATTTAATTTCGTTTGCAAAAAAAAAAATTTTAACAAAATAATTTTTCCGGGCAATAAAAATTTAAATTTATTGATTAATTTCCAATAAAAAAAAAAATTAAAAACCGATAATTATAGTCAAATTTTTAAATTTTTTAAATTTAAAAAAAAAGCAGTTTAAAATTTCTAAACGGGACGATTAATTAAATTGTTTTTTTTTTTTAAATAAATTTATTCAAAACGAGTAAATTTTATTGATTTTACTAAATTGTGCGTGTGTGTGTGTGCGTGTGCGTTACGTATAAAAAGAAATTTTGTGAAAAAAAGGGCGTGTTTGTCGTTTGTTTTGATGCAAAAAAAAAAAAAATGGTAACAAAAACACACGATAATTACTTATAAAAATTTGCTAAAACATTTATCGGGGGATTTTTTTTAAAAGTTTAAATACTCTATAAAATCAAGTTTAAATACTCTGATGAAATCAAGTTAAAGAGAGAGAAAATTATTCAGACTCGAGGCAATATTATTGATTTTGTTTTACGATTACGATGGACGAAGTTTTTTTATTTTATTTTAACCTCAAGCTTGATATTATGTTTATGTTTATAAACATAAATATATTATGTACTTATAAACGATGTTTTTATACAAGTTAACATTTAAAAAAAAAAAAAAAAAAACAAGAATGCAAAAAAAAAATAAAAATAAAAAATAAATTTTCCTCCTTTTTTCCTTTTTTTTTTTTTGCAAGATTTTGATCATTTTAATGTTATTTACTTGTATGGCCATTTCCTTTTTTTATTTAATGACTTTCTAAGATCCGTAAATGACGGTTAAAAACATAAAAAAAAAAAATAAATCGTGAGATATTTTCTTGTTAGTTTATTTATTTATTTATTAAATCAGAAAGATTCGATTTTAATCTACACTTTCTTAAGACTTGTTAACAACTCTCTTATTTATCTATAATAATAATAATAATAATTTATATTCTAAACTGTATTTATTTCGTAATACATTAATAAATAAATAAAAAATTTATTTCTTATCGATAGCAGAAGATATTTTATTAATTCAAATAGTAAATATACTTTATTAAAAAAAAAGTTACGAGTATAATTAAATATAAATCATTTTTTTTTTTTTTTGTTAAATTATACCCTTCAGGAGGAAATTTATTAAATTTATTTTAAATAATGATAAAAAAATTTATTAATTGTAAGATATTATGTGGTTGTTGTTGTTTTTTGTTACCAACATAAACTTAATTAAAAATAATTCGGTTGTAAAAAAAAAAAAAATTGCAGAAAATTATTTATTTATTTATTTATTATATAATTATTACCGAGAAATAATTTTAAAATGTCGCAGAAAATTTTTTTTAAAAATATAATTATAGTATATACCTGTATCATAATTATTATTTAATAAAAAAATTTATATTTATAAATATCCATAAAAAAATTACATTTTTTTTCTCCAATAATTACATTAAAAATTTTTTTTTTTATTTAATATATTTTTTTTTTGTTTTTTGTGGTAATTATTTAACCTTCACATTAAAATTATACTTTTTTTTTCTTTAAATAAAACTTTTATTTTACATAATGTATGGTTTTCCTTAAATTATGAGAATTGTAAATATCAAAAAATTTAAAAAAAAAAAAAAAATGTTTATTGATTTGAGTATCCGCCATAATGATTTAACATTCTAAATAAAAACCGTTGTCTTACGTCATAGAGAAAGAAGTACATGTAACAAATCATACGGGGAGAAGCATTAATTCATAGATTAAATAAACGTTGAACTTTTCAGATATTTTTCTTTATGGAAAAATAAATTTGAATTTAATCCAGGAAAAGAAATATAAATTAGAGCTTTTTAAAAAAAAAAAAGTAAACAAAATAATTAAATGTTAAGGTTAACAACGTTGTGGATTTTATTTTTAAAAAAATAAATTTTCACAGAGAACGATGACAGCCATTACAGAGATGTAACGGTTTCAGCCATTCCTCGACATTTTACCTGGCATTTAATATTTCATTTTGTTGTTTAAATTCAGTGAACAAGTGAAACGGTAAAGAAAAGTGCAAGACTGCATGCACTCTGGCAAACGGAGGCTAACCAAGTTTGTTGTTCATTCTTACAGGCTAATTTCGTTAGCTCGCGCGTTTAGTAGTTCTTATCACGTTTTTCATTATTATTATTACTATTTTTTTTTTTTTTTTAACTGGGGGTCGTAATAAATTTTTAATTAAATATATTATTATTTTTATTATTATGAAAAGTGCATGTTACATTGTGTTGTGATGTTTTTTATTTTAAATTATTTTAATTGAATCAATATGTGTGTATGACTAATGTAATTTTTCTAGAAAAGATTTTTCTTTTTAAAATAATAATTGACAGAAGTAACATAAAATAAATTACTTATGTTGTTGTCATAATATGATTTCATTTTTACAAAGTCAGAATGTCAATGAAGGTAAGAATTATTTTATATTTTAAATATATTTTTATTCATGATTATTTAAATAAGTGACAAAAAAAAAAAATTATCAATGAAAAATTATTGATTTGGTTTATATTGTCAATTAATAATTAACTGAATCAAAGTTTTACACTTTTTAATTTAACAAAAAATTTGTTTTTTTTTATTGTAAAAAGTAGAAATTTTATTTCAAATTTATTTAAATATTAATTAAGGGTGTATCAAGGAGATTTTTTTGAACATGTGCAATTAAACTAAAGTAAAATTTTTTCTTTTCCTTTTCATGGAAATTATTTTTGTATAAATTTTTGACACCAAGGTTATATAATATTTTTTTTTTTATAAAAAAAAGTGTAATTAGCATATCATTAGTAATTAATTACTGATAATTTATCATTTCAAATCTTTAATTTTTATTTTATTTTTGAAGAAAATAACTAAAAAACTAAATTTAAGAGGGAAAAACAAATTTCATTCGAATCAAACTGTCGATTAAAAAAAAAATTTAATAATCATTATTATTTTAATTTTTTTTTACTCGATTGTAATTGACAGCTTGACAGTTGGGGTATTTCATGTTATTACCAAAAAAAATTATCACTACCTGTTATGTTATTTATTATGTCCAATCGAAAAGAAAAGAGAAAAAAAAAAATTTAACATGTTTAATTTTAAAATTATCGATGGTTTACTTTAAACAGTTGGTAAATTTTTTTGTGTGTGTGTTGATAATCTGATTAGACATTTATTTATTTTTATTATTATTATTATTATTAATAAAAGGGGGGTAATGTCCTTGGATTTGATGAAATCTTGTAGTAATTAATTTTGATCTTATATTTATTACAATGCAAATTATTTCATTATGCTTGTCGACTGTGTATGCTGTATCAGTTTTTTTTTTTTTTTTTTTTTTTTTTTTCGAATGATGCACTTGAAAAAATTGTTTTGTCTTTTGTTTTTTTTTTTTTTTATTATTTGATTTGCATAAGATATTGTAAAACATGTGGGCCATTGTTTTCCTACATAAAACATTTTTAAATTTAAATTAAAGTCATTCACATTCATGAAACAATAGTTTATATATAAATAAATAAATAATTAAATGTGTATGTGTTTGTCAATTAAATGAGGATTTGAAAAGATGTTAAAATCTTTCATATTGTGAAAATTTCTTCTTTTTTTTTTTCATATGATAAGAGATATGGTAATTTTTTTTTTTTTTTGTTTTTTTTTTTCTTTTTTTGCATCCATCATGGGTCTTTGAATGAATGACCCATTTAAAAAAAAAAAAAATTTCCATCTATTGTGTTCTGGTCTTTTGTGGTGGTTGTAGAAAAATTTAATTTTATGTTGTTGTTGTTGTTTTGAATATGGATGTAATATCGATTTTCCATT